TTTTTTTGCAAAATTGTAAATTAATTTTAAAAATAAACGCAGCCGGTAGGATTCGAACCTACGCTCCCAGAGGGAATCTGATTTCGAGTCAGACGCCTTAACCACTCGGCCACGACTGCTGTGAAGGTTCTACTTAAACTTACAATTACAAATTTTCCTTGAACTTGAACGTATAAGTTGTGTTCTACATCTACTACAAAACTTTTTAACAAAAAAATAAAAACCGACTTCAAACAAAAGCACTAAAAAGTGAAAAATAACTGATTGGTAGTTTTCATTTACTATACATACCTAATCAAATATTTTCGAAGTCGGTGTGCTTTGTTTTGTATGGGCTGGCACCGATTTCGAAAATATTTGATTAGGTATGTATTTAATAGGTAGGCTTTAATTACTTAGCCACAGCACACCGACTTTGAAAATATTTGATTAGGTATGTATAGTAAATGAAAACTACCAATCAGTTATTTTTCACTTTTTAGTGCTTTTGTTTGAAGTCGGTTTTTATTTTTTTGTTAAAAAGTTTTTATTTTTCCCTTTTTAGTGTAGACAGTAGTAGCAAAGTAAGGATTCTAACGTGTTAGGCTTGTCAAATCAAACAAAATAAGCCCAAACTCAAAGTATCTACTATTAGCCGTTGAAGAGTTCCACCTATCCACCTTCTGGCCTTGCCATCAGATCAGGTCAACAACACCGTACCACTGTACTATCAACGAAAATAGAAATACTTGCAAAGTTTCAAGTCAATATGACAATTAGAAGTAGGTTAAATTCATTATTAGTTGTTTTTCCACCCTTAGGGGTAGTATTTTTTTTTGAAATTTAAATGGGACCAATCTGGAAGTATACCCTTTCAAACAAAACAAAAATTGTCCAAATCGGTTAATAAATGACGGAGTTCTGAGGTAACAAACATAAAAAAAAAAAAAAAACATACAGTCGAATTGAGAACCTCCTCCTTTTTGAAGTCGGTTGAAAACAACAATTATTATTACCTACATTTTTCATCTATACTAATATTATAAAGAGGTAAAGTTTGTGAGTTTGTGCCGTTGTAGGGGGTAATCTCTGGATCTACTGAACTGATTTAGATGAAATTTGGTAAAAATATAGTTTGAGACCCTGGGAAGGACATAGAATACTTTTTATCCAGGAAATCATCCCTTAAGGGGTTGAAAATGAGGATGAAAATTTGTATGGGGAAATTTGATTAGATTTTAATGGAACTTTACTATATTATAACTCATGCATCAGAATAACACAGACAATTTTTTATCCCGGAAAAATGAACTATTCCCGTGGGATAGATTTGTTTTTGTTTGTCTAGAGGCTAACCCGAACGAGCGAGGGTAAATCGCTAGTATACCTAATATATAGCATACATATATGACAAATAATTTTATTAAGTTTAGTTACAATTATTAAAATTACGTACATTATATTAACCCAATAACGTCGAAGCGCTGAGGGAGAGTTGTTGTTGTTGAATCAAGATGTTTGACCTGTATGTATGTAATGTTCATATGTATGTATGTCCGATCCTATGTTCCCTTGTAATTACTAAACGGCTAAACCGATTTTGATAATGCGACGTACATACACGTAGTAGGACTTACAGCAAAAAAAAAACACGTGTGTCTCCGACTGCATAATACTATATTCCTTCATCAACTTGCTCTCATCTTTTTAATACGCTTTTACGCAGTCGGTTTTTTTTTCTAAATATTTTTTTATTTAATGAAGATACCCGAAACAAGGCTGCATCATACCCTCCCTCGCTATGACAGTAGTTTGGCAAACCAACGGATTACATGCGAGCACGCGACCGACAACACGCGTACTATTGGCTTAGCACTCGTAATTCACGATTGAAATATAACGAACGATTGATTTGTTCAGTAAAACTTCAAAGTTAAATTTCTTAGATTTACACGAATATTTGACATCTATTTATACATATAATAAAATTGTAACAAAGTCGAATCTGTACATTGAATATTTTTTTGGAAAATCTTATTGAAATAAACATTATTATCGATACAGAGTCCGAATCTATAGTTTTTAGAATTTTTGTCTGTCTGTCTGTCTTTCTGTCTGTCTGTTACCGCATCACGAGAAAACCACTTGACAGATTTTGATGAAATTCTGTATGATGATAGCTGGTTATCCGGGTCAGCATATAGGATACTTTTTTCCGCGGGAAAATATCTCATTTCTGAGAAAAAATACAAAAACTTCATTGTAAGAGTATGACTAATATGTAAAGCCTAAGAATTTGGTTTTTGATTATCTGAACGCGGGCGGAGCCGCGGGCAATGCTAGTTTTAAATAAAACTATCTTTTCGGATAATTTCGCGGATTTATTTAGATTTTTAATTCCCGACGTTTCGAATGCTATACAGCGCACATGGTCACGAGAGAGACTGAGGTTATAGACGTCTCAAACACATACCTACTTGTTACAGACAGCACCTACCCACTATTTTACAAAGATGATTTCAAAAATTCAAAAATGGCAATAAAGTATCTTACAATATTTCAATTTGTTGACTTCAAAGTTTATTTCCGTTGTGGGATTGACGGAGAGAAATTAGTGAAATTGTTAACTCTACAGTCTACATGATACCTACTTCTTTCTCTTCGACTGTATGTCAGTGTGTGGTATGTTTATGTACAACTAGAATCTAATTAAAGCTTATTATTTTTTTATTTACGTATTATTAATCTACCTATACTAATTTACGTATTATTATAAAGAGGCAGAGTATGTTTGTTTGAACGCACTAATCTCAGGAACTACTTATCCGATTTGAAAAATTATTTTTACATTATATAGCCCGTTTATTGAGGAAGATATAATAAGCTATACATATAGGTATCTACCCAGTGTCGGATTCAACCTTAGTGCCGCCCTTGGGCAATGTAAAAAATGCCGCCCGACTATATAAATTTCGCATAAAGTGGATTAAGGTTCGATAAACTTTAATTTCTTTTAATTATAATTTTTTCGAAAAATGCAAAAAATTGATTTATAAATGTTTTCAAATTTTCGAAAAATGTACTAGTAATTTTTTTTATTAATATTTTTTTGGAAAATACATAAAGAATTTTCGATAATATCTTTATATATATAATTCTTCTGTGAGTGTGTATGTCACTGAACTTCTCTCAAACGACTGGACCGATTTTGATGAAATTTTTTGTGTGTGTTCAAGGGGATCTGGGAATGGTTTAGATTCACAATTTGAATAATAATTTTCATCAAAAAAATTATTAAAAAAAGTTTGAAATTTTCAAATTAAAGACGTGTAGACAGGACAACGTCTGTCGGATCCGCTAGTTAAGATATATTTTTTGTCACCCTCTGAATTTTGCCGCTCTGGGCACTAGCCCGATTGCGCCGAGTGTAAGTCCAGCACTGAATATATATTATATCACCTATACTTACGTATATAATTAAATTGTAACTAAGCCGAATCTGTACATTAAATATTTTTTTGGAAATTCTTATTGAAATAAACATTATTATCTATCTATACAGAGGCCGATTCTATAGTTTTTAGAATTTTTATCTCTCTGTCTGTAACCGTATCACGGAAAAACCAGTGGAGGGATTTTGATGAAATTTGGTATGATGATAGCTGGTTTAACTGGATAATGTCCGGGTCAACTTATGGGACAATTTCAAAAAATCATTAAATACTTGTGACGTAGGTAATTTATGGATGGCCTTTTAGTGTGGAATTGTTACTTAAAATTTGTGTAAATGATAAATTTTCCAATATTCATTCAAAGATGAATCATGAAAATCAGTTCACTATAATCAAAAATATCGTCAGACTATACTAATAGGTAATATATTAATAACTAGCGACTTACCCTCGTCCCTAGATATGTTTTATTTTTTTTAGCGGAACCCTAACGAAATAAAAGTATTCTAAGTTAATCCTTATAATATCAGCTATCTGCCAGTGAAAGTCCCATCAAAATCAGTCTAGCCGTTTCGGAAATTAGCCGGAACAAACAGACACACTAAAATTATAAAATTGTGTTTTTCTTTTATGTACAGTATATAATTTTTAAATTTGACTGCCTCGGTGGTGTAGTGGCTAGCATGTACGGCTGCACACTCGAAGGTCCTGGGTTCGAGTCCCGGGTCGGGCCGAGTTTAGTTATTGAGTCTTTCTGTATAGTAAGCCTCAGTAACAGCCCGGAGTTGGGAAGTTGGCGGTGTTTCACCCCCGTGCCTCGGAGGGCATGTAAAGACGTCGGTCCTGCGCCGACACTCACCGGTCGTGTCTCGTGTCGTCCCACCGGAGTATGAGAGTGACAGGAATAGAGAGTGCACGTTGTGTCTGCGCTCTCCCTCACACGCTCTGCACTATAATATCTCCTGCGCAGTTGGCTAGTCTCAATAAGATTGGCCGCCGTGGCTGTAAGCTGTTATTTTGACAATACAGACACTTCCATCTTATTTATCTGTATAGATTATAAATTATTGACTGCAATTATTATTCTTCGTTAACTTGTTCGTGTTTTACGCATTTTTTGCGTAGAGGGTTTTTAAAATGTTTAATTATTATAATCCAATATGGCAGAAGTTACAAAATGGAGGTTTATCATTTCCATAATGACCCATATGATATGGGCAACAAATGAAAGGGTTTGCTGACAAGAATAAGACTAAAATCAAAACAAAAAAAAAAGAAAATCGTTTATTTAAGTCTGTTTTTATAATTAATATAAAGGTATATTTTATAATGACGTAATAAAACAAAAGATCGTTTAATTTAACTTTGTTTAGTTATAATCCACTCCATCTTATTTTTTTTATTGAGATAGACATTAAATATTTAGATAAAAATTGACGTATCTAGTGTTTATATAAAATAAAAATATTTGAATAAAGTAGATACTTTTTTGTTTAAAATTAAAATATATAACAGGTAAAAAATAAATAAAAGAAAAATGTAGGTTTTATAAATTTATTCTTAAGTTTATTCGTTCTCCTGGCTGCGGAGACGTGCAGCAGCGTTGGTCACCCTGATGCTTAGCTGTTGCGCACGCTCAACAATAACCTTGCGTTTCTTTGAGGATACTCCGTGAGCGATCTCTGCGCAGTACTTCCTGTTCTGCATCATCAAGATTTCCAACTCCTTGACATTGTGGACGAGGACCTGGAAAATTGAATTAATCATATATAAACAAACTTTTAACATTAAAGGTAATAAAAGTGATCATCTGTTAGTATATATATTATATCTACCATAAATAATAATATATTTTTGACACTTGTGGTTCAATGGAAAAGTTTCCAATTTTTTTAATATTAATTATTATAAATGTACCCTCAAACAAATGAAAAAATAAAAAAAATATTAAAAGTTGCACTTGTAAGAATGACTTCATGACATCACATGACCTGAATGACTGCTATTTAAATTAATTTCTCAGCCATTTATTGATTGATTTCACAAATTTATTAGTTTTTGACCTATATTATAATACCATTGCGTTAAACATGACGTTAATAACATAAGAAAACTTCTCCATTCAGTTTTCTTGTTAATGGCTCCGTGTGCCAGTTGTGGACAGATTACTTTTCTAATGTCACATAGAATGGAGGAGACAATAACGAGATTGGTTGTTAACAATTGTTAAGAAGTTGTGAATAAGGCACAAGAAAACCAAACATTTTCAGTCCATATTTTTTCATACATATTTATTTAAGGTGTATTAAAAGTACTAAAATAATCTAATAACTCGATAACATTTGACATTGGTAGAACTTATATGAAGTCAGTTAACAAAAAAAAATTATATACAGAAACAAAAGTTATTTAAATTAAAACAACGAAATTTTAATAATAACAAAAAGGAAGATGAAAATTTAAAGTAGCAACTATGTTAGGTAGTTCTTAGTGACACTAAATTATTTTAATAATTTTATGTTCAAAATTACTTATTTAATTATTTAAAATTTATTTCCATAATATAATAAAATTATAAATGAAAACGATTTGTATCTTCCAATATGACCGAGTTGCAATAATCTGACAACTAGCAATAGGATTTGGCAGACTATGATATAGCAAAGTAACAAATTGTAAATACCATACAAATGGTACCACAGAGTGCCTTTGCAAACATTCAAAATAAGATATAAAGAGGCTATATTAAAGTGAATACATTTATATATGTTGTTTTAAAATTATTATTTTCTTTGAATCAACACTTAATATTTTTAGTCAAAATATAAAATAATATACTAACTTAGCTGAGTTATTGTATTTATGAATAGTTTATTAGTTACTAGCGATACACCCTCACTTGGTTGCAGTCATTCCTAGGTTGATTCCCCATACAAACTTTTATCTACATTTTCACCTACTTAAGGGATGATTTGCAGGATAAAAACTATCCTATGTCCTTTCCAGCATCTCAAAGTATCTTCTTACTCAATTTTATTTAAATTGGTCCAGTAGTTTCGGAGCTTATTTGGTACAAACATACAAAAAAATCTTTCCTCTTTATAATACTCGTATTAGTATTGATAGTGTGTATATTATTAATTTAAAATCCAACTCATACCTTACGGAAACCATTAGGGAGCATGTGACGAGTTTTCTTATTTGATCCATAACCAATGCTGGGCATCAAGTACTGTCCCTTGAAACGCCTGCGCACTCTGTTGTCAATACCTTAAATATAAATAGAATAGTTAATAATTTTTTGCCTTTAAATTGAATTAATGAGTTAATTTTTCTATCATTCTTGCCAAAAAAAACACTAGTCCATAGAAAAAAAGACTTATTCATGTAAAAACAAAAGGTTTTAGATAAAATGTAAATAAAATTTTAAGCCAGAACTATCATTATGCAAACATAATAAATAAGCTTAGGTTATAAAATGTCTCTGCTATTATGACTAAATAACAAGTTACAGTTATTCAGAATAGGGTATAGTAGATTTAGTATAGCAAGGTAACAAATTGTGAATAACATATCAATAATGTATAACACAGAGTGCCCTTGCATTCAATTTAAAAAGATAAAAAAAAATTTTTTTTCCAATATTAGTATTTAGCGCACACATTGAAATTACACACTATGATCATAACCTATAAAAAATAAAGTTGTAATTAAATCTAAGCTATTGCATATAATGAAAGCATGTTTATTATAAATTATGATATTGTAAAAGTTAATTTATAATAAATTACATTTTCTTTCGTAATTTCAATGTGTTCAACATTCGTAAAGGTAATAACATTTGCACATACCTTTAGGTTTACGCCAGTTGCGCTTAAGTTTGTCATATCGATCAGATTGATGTCTGATGAACCTTTTCGTCCTCTTTTTGACGATTTTGGGCCTGTATACAGGTCTGATAGCCATTTTGATATTGTTTCTTTTACGAAACGCGGCTGTGAACCACGCGGTGACACGGCCGCAAGGAAAGGAAGAAGGAATAGACAAGGACAAACATTCCTAGAGTTTGTGCGTTTTCAATGACATTTATAATGTGAAAATAATTTTATTTTTATTTGTCTATGATAGATATTTTAATTAGAAAATAATCATAATTTCAGTACAACAAGGTTTTAATTATATTTCATTCTTTTTTTGCAATTATCAATTGTATAAAAATATAAATTATTTCGTCATGCCATCAATTTTTTTCAAAAATAGTCTTTGATGAGTAAAAAGAAATATTTTTGGACTTGTGTAGATGTTATGTTATTAGCGCAGCTATATTTGTTGCAAATTCGGAATGATCCTAATTATTTATGAAAATGTCAAGAAAGAGACGATTATTTATTTGTTTTCTGTAGGAAGTTGAAGCAAACTATTTTACATGTATCCACCATAGACAGATGAAAGTGACAATTCAAATGATGCGCTACTTGTAATTGAGAACAATCCGATTTCTCTATGCCACAGACGCCAAATGTCGCCATCGATCAATGACATTTTGTGAAGTTGAATTTATTGATATAAAGCGTTAATGTAAATAATAAACAATTTCAACATAAACGTCGGCTTCCAGTCGATATGTATGCCAAGGGCAAAGGCTCTACGGTACCTTCGGACGCTCAGGCTCGCGAGAAGTTGGCTCTATATGTCTACGAGTACTTACTACACGTCGGGGCTCAGAAAGCGGCGCAGACTTTCCTTTCAGAAATACGATGGGAAAAGAACATAACACTCGGCGAGCCGCCCGGATTTCTCCATTCGTGGTGGTGTGTATTTTGGGACCTGTACTGCGCGGCGCCAGAGAGGCGGGATACTTGTGAACACTCGTCAGAAGCTAAAGCATTTCACGACTATGGATTCGTTAATTCTGGCTACGGTGTTAACGGAATTGGTCACAATGCCGGCCCTGCGCCTCCAAACGACGGTAAGTTTAATATTTTTTTATGTAAATCAACAAAATATACTGTTTTTTCATATGATAGTGAACTTTCTAGGGCATACTGTCTCTTATCTTCTTGTGTAAATACTGTAGTGTTTTACAGTCTAAGAATGAAATCTAACCATGTTATTCCATTTGTTTATCAGTAATAATCTTAAAATAATGTTTTTAATGCATAAAACTACATAAAAGTCAAAATAATTAATAACATTTTTGTAATATGGGGCTTAGCTTTTGCAAATCAAAAGTGCTTATCAATTTTATTTAACCTTGTCATGATTTTTATTTGCCATAAGAAAATATCACTCTTATTGAAAACATAGGATATTAATATTAAGAAAAAATAAGAGAAAGTATCTAAGTTAATAGTAACACTTACTTGTGCTACTTATTAGTATTATTTTATGAGACACAAACTAAATCCCTGTAAAGATAAAAATAAGTCAATAATTATTTAACATTTCTTGGCACTAAAAATATCTTTTTCAGAACAAATATGGTCTTATTTGAAAGTGTTAATCCATATAATCTTAATAATCATTCTTTTAATGGAAATTTTATAATAAAAAGGTCTTTTACTTGTGAAATAATAAAAGCAAATACCAATTTGTTTTTATGATTGTTATATTCTAAAAGTTTTTATTAAACAAACCAAAATTCCATTCCAGGTATGGGAGGAGGTGGAATTCCACCAGGTTTCTTTCCCAATTCATCACTCCGACCATCACCACCTGCTCCCCATCCAGGATCACAACCATCACCCCATGGACCTCAACCACAGTTGATGGGGACTGGACAACCGTTTATAGGCCCATGGTATTCTGGTGGACCAAGATCAGCAGTCAGGATGGGCATGGGCAATGATTTTAATGGGCCTCCAGGTATGATTTAATCATAAATATTTTTTTTAAATACGAATTATTTAAATAACAAAAAATATATATATATGTATATATGATCATGTAAATAATACCTTATATTTTATTTATTATATTTCAAGGTTAGACCACTTTTTTTAATGTTGGGAAATGCATTTGTGCATACCACCTGTATACATACAGGTGGTTACATGGGACTCACGGGCTAGAAAAGCCAGTACTACCTGCTAAAATCCAACATCCCATGTCTTAATGGGGCGTCGCAGGGTCGCTTACGCACTCAATCAAGACGCCCCGACGGCAGGTCTGCCGAAGTAAACCACACAAGGTATAGCTCCCACGGTCCACTCTGCTGTCAAAGAAGTATCAGGGGCAATCCGCATGATACATCGCCCACCGAAGTGGGCCACCGCCCTCTGTGTCTCTTGGCCTCGCGCCCGGCTGGGTTGCCGGACGCCAATGAGTTCCCCTACCCTTCCTCCCTACCCCCGCCACGACAAGGTGAACACATAGGAGAGAAGGTTAGACCACTTGCTCTAACAGTCATCAATTTGAAATTTTTGAATTTTTTCTTTGATATTTTCATATAGAAACCTTATTAGGTTAAGTGTCAAAGTTAAAATTAAAAAAAAATCTATAAATTAATTATTATCTACAAAGGTTTCATTAAATGTTGGTTGATTTTAATAGTACTTTAACTAGTCTATTGAAAAAAAAACAGTTTTAAGATAATTAAGTGTTTTACATAAAAATAAACTTTGGTGTATTTAGTTGAAGGCAGAAGTCGAGTTTGGATTTAGTTTTAAAATTATTATAAAATAACAACTACTATACTAATGTTATTTTTAACTAATGTCTTTAAAAAAGAAAAGAAGTTTTTATTTCAAATTAAGTTGAAACTTGGAGTTTAAACATTTTCTTTACTTAGGTCTTCAATTTCAACCCATATTCAAATTTAAATGAGATCATACTAAATTTATTAACATAGAATGTGAGCCATTAACTGGCCCATAAGTCTTGTGTTGGCCTTTCACTGGAGTATAAGAGTAAAGGAAATAGAGAATATTAGTGCATATGATACATTTAACTCAGTTTGTAGTGACCCTGCTTGCTGTGCCATGGGTAGTGGGTTCGAATGCCGCTGGGGGCATTCATTTCTGTGATGAGCACGCATATTTGTACTCCAGTCATGGGTGTTTATATTTATAAAATGTATGTACCTAAAGTTATATATGTGTAGTGTATCAACTATCAGGTATCCATAACACAGGCTACGAGGCCTGGAAAAGGCCTTAGGTTAGGTTTAGGTCTTACCATGGAACTAGATGGTGCTGTGTGTCAATGTACCTACATATTTATTTATTTATACACTTGTGTGTGTTGTTAGTATGTTTTCCTAGAATAGATATGGATAATATATATGAAGTCAATAAGTATTAAAACAGTGGTAGCCCAGTGGTACTGCGCTCACATGGAAAACCGAGTGAAGCGGGTTCAAATCTCTATAATAATAGTTCAAAGTATATTTCAAATCTCTATAAGAATACCACTTGCCTTGCGGTGAAGGAAAACATTGTAGGAAACTTGCATGTCTGAGATAACCTAGCAAGTCTTCGAAAAAAATGTGCAGTCCGCCCGCACTTGGCCAGCGTGGTGGACTATGGCCTGATCCCCCTCGTATTGAAGGGAGGCCTAATGCCTATATGCCCAGCTGTGGCACTTTAAAAATGGCTGAATATATTATTGACCCTATCTCCTCCTCCTCCAGGCCAGGGCATGATGGGCAACTCGCTGGAGCGCGGTGGCGGTGCAGGCGCAGGGATGCTGGGCGGGCCGCGTATGACGCCCCCGCGCCCCGGCATGGGCCCCATGAGCCCGGGGGCCTACGCGGCGGGCATGCGCGGCCCCCCGCCGCAGGCGCCAGGTGAGTCACGTTATGTGTTTTTTTTAGCAATGGCATTGTGATTATGATGCCTTGTTTTTTGGTTACGTTGACGTATCTTCTTTTTTTAATTTGAAAACTTCTATAGGCAGGTTGGTTTGGATGGGGAGTAAATTCATGTAAGTCGTCATCGACATGGTCACGTGACATGTTAACGCTGACACTCAAGAGTGCCGATAGATGTCGAAACCAGATATAAATGTAAACAGTTTTAATTTGCAAATTTTAATTTAAGTCCAAACATTTAATTTGAATATCTAAAAATAACAATTGTTTGTTTATAGTTTTAAGTTTACACTTCTGTCGGCAGTACTCATGACTGGTTTTTTTTGATTATTTTTTTTGGCATTGGTATTTGGGAAGTATTCCCAAGGAGGGTTGACGTCAGGCAGGCGGCCGGTCGTAAAACTTTTGCCAAATTTTATCAGCAGTACACTGAAGATGTACTGCGCCGACCCCAAGCGATTTGGGAAATGGGCAGGGAGAAGAAGAAGAAGAAGGTATTTGGGAAGTGTTTAGTTGATAATTTTTTGTCAATTTTTAAAATTAGCCAGTTATCTGAGCTTCCATCAGATCAGTCTGTGCCTAAGAGTACTAATGTGTTACTCCAGGACATGGTCTATTTGTGTACTTTTCATGCAAATTCGACCAAATGTTTCATCCTGTTGGAATAGACACATATACATATTTAATGTAAATACATTATACACATGCAAGAAACATTTAAAATTTATATATAAATCAATTATCGTCCGTTAGTCTCACTAAAACTCAAAAACTGAACCGATTTGAATATTTTTTAATTTGTTTCGTTGGGGGTGTATCAGAAGTGCTTTAAGTATAAAAAAATAAATAGGGAAAACCCATAAGAATTGCTGGAAAATCGAAAATTTCAGTTTTGTACGGTACTCAATAACCGTTAAAACGTAACCGAGCGAAGCGAGATAAGTCTATAGTAAATAATAAAAATGCCCAGAAAATGCCCAGCAATAACCAAATGAAATCTTACTTGTATATTAATTCCACTATCGATATAGTGCACTATGTGTAGTTACATATTTTTAGCTATTGATAACATAATCATATTAATTATAAATGTGAAAGTCTATCAATTATTGTGTTTGTCACTTCCATAATAACAGATTTGTGTGATACTTTCTTAGATTTACGCGACCATTTGACATTTTAAATAAAACTATCCCTTAGGTGCGTTTTAATTTTTTTTAACGGAACCCTAATTCTTTTTATAAAATAAAAGTAGCCTAAGTTACTCCTTATAACATTAGCTATCTGCCAGTGAAAGTCTCGTCAAAATCAAGCCAGCCGTTTCGGAGATTAGCCGGAACAAACAGATGGACAGATAAAATCTTATTAAATTGTGTTTTTCTTTTACACTTCTACCGTATATAATTTCATATGCATTTAGTAAAAAGCTGTTATTTTGACATTAGAAACACACACTTCAATTTTATTTATCTGTATAGATTTGCAAGCTTTTATTTAACTAGCAATGTGTGTTAGTTGGTATATTTGTATAGGTCAAATCTAGCTGAGTTAAAACCACTTCCAGACTTTAATTTTTGGTTCAGTTCCGATGACAATGCCTTTTTATCATAATTATGATCTGATTCTCCATCCAATTATGTAAGGCAAATAATTAAGTAGTGTACTCACATCGTGACTTGAAATTAAAAAAATAGATAAATAATTTAAATCTAAAAAACTTTTTTTTTTAAAACAAGTTTTTATTCTAATGCGCTAAAAAGAAGAAAATAGACCTTTAAACGCTTAATTTTTTAAAATAAATTCTTATTTAAAGTTTAATTTATTTTATCTATTTACTTATCTAACATTTGTTCACAAGTTATTCATTTCAGGGAAGTATTAAATGCAGATTTGATTATTAGTCTAAAAAACGCGTGTGTGTGTACTTATGTACGCACGTAAGAACCTTATCATGTCGCTTTTTGGCTGTCGGTGTGCGCGCGCATCGTAAAAATTGTAACCTCTATATTTTTTTCCAAACGTGCCAAAAGAAGTATAAGTTCAATTATCACCACTAGGTAAATTTCTAAGAAATTAATTAAATTTCTAAGAAATCTATTGTTAACTGTAACGCCGGCGTGTCCGCGGTCGTGGAGGGATTAATAGGAAATATGCTTGATTTTTTTTATTTTTATATAATAGCTTACAATGTTATATAATTTAAAAAAAAATATATCCGAAAAACTAAAATTTAGTATAAAAAAAATTAAAATATCATACCGATACGGATACTTTGAACGCCCGCCATTTTGTATGATATACATAGAATAATGACGACTCAATTTGTAGCGACAAAATCGCTGATCGCTCTGTCCGTCCTTGACTCCAATTGGTCAGTTATAAAGTTATTGGTTTTGTTTTGTAACATAGATACAATGCAAATTGACTTTGATGATTTATTTTCCTAGTATCGGGTTTCTGGGTTATGGGGTCACGGTCACGGGTTATAGGGTTAGTAGTTATGGATGCCTCGGTGGTGTAGTGGCTAGCATGTACGGCTGCACACCCGCAGGTCCTGGGTTCGAGTCCCGGGTCGGGCCAAGTTTAGTTATTGAGTCTTTCTGTATAGTAAGCCTCAGTAACAGCCCAGAGTTGGGAAGTTGACGGTGTTACACCCCTGTGCCTCGGAGAGCACGTTAAGCCGTCGGTCCTGCGCCTTAACTCCTACTGGTCGTGTCGAGCAGTCGTCCCACCGGAGTATGAGAGTGACAGGAGTAGAGAGTGCACGTTGTGTCTGCGCGTACACGTGTTGTGACTGTACTGTTGTTGACATAGGCAGTTGGCTAGTCTCAATGAGATAGGCCGCCGTAGCCGGAATCGGCTAGGAGAACATCATCAGTTATGAATTTATAGGGTTATAGTGTTATTTGAATTAAATAATTAGTTTTTGGTTTGACGTTTGAGTAACAACGTTACAGAGCTAAACAGCGTTGATGATAGGGTTTTTTGGGCTTATGGCGAAATCCTGACGTTTATTACGGCGAGTGTTCAGAAGAGCTCTTCCAACTTATACCCTCCTCTCCTTTCCTCTCCAAAACCACACGTGCTGGTCGGAAATTCCATCCTCACACGGTACTACCCATACCTTCTCGTACCAAAAGGTTTGGCAGCTCCTACCTGTGCCGCACTATTAGGAAATGGAATTCATTACCGTCTCACCTGTTTCCCTCTTCCTATAATCCTGGGTCGTTTAAACGGAGCGTGAAAAAGCACATTTGCAGGCCGACGAGGTGAGGTTAATCGGAATCGAGATCAAGTCCCGGAACCGATGGATCTCATTCTGGATTCCACTGTCGCTTACCATCAGGCGTCATGGAGTCATCTTGTCGAGCAACCCCAAAAACACAGTAATCGTACTCAGACCCCTGGACCAATTTTTTTTGTGTCATGTCATGTCAGTTCCTATCAATATTTTTTTTAATAAAAATATAGTTTCGTTTCGTAATATATTTTCATTCACTATTTAAAATGTAGGTATGCCACCAATGGGAATGGGGCCTCGGGGCGCATGGGCCGGCGGGAGCGGGGGCGCGGCGGGGGCCTCCGCGCCTCTCAACTATAGCGGGGGCTCCCCGGGCGCGTATGGGGCCCCCCCAGGGTCCAACGGGCCCCCGGGACCGCCTACCCCCATCATGCCAAGCCCCCAGGACTCGTCGAACTCCGGTAAGTTGGGTGGGTTTTTGGTTATATTGTTTATGGGTTTTGGGTTTGGGACATTTGCTATGATATAAGTTTAAAAAAAAGGAATTGTATGTTTGAATTGTTGATCTATTTTATATTTTTAAAATTAATTTATTAGATATGAAGGACTAAACGAGTGAATAATATTAACGATGCAAATATTAAAAAATATTATAAAAAATAAATTGCAGATGGTTTTTAGATGAGTGTTTTTTTTTTAATTTTAAATATAACCAAGAACTGGAACAACGTTTTAATTTCTGAAAATTGTTTGAACGCCATCAAACAATTTTTGTATATTGTGTTAATAACACTTTTGAATCATAATTGTAAAGTTCTTATCATAAACATATTATATTTATTAAATTCATAGGAAATTTTATTTTTACAATAGTTTAATATTTTATATAATAAGTGTGGTATATTTTTAATATTTGAGATTTTTTTTAATTGATGATTTATCAAAAGTGTTTTTAACTTGGACTTTTAGAAATTAATTGCAGGTTTTTTATTACACCACTTTAAACCAGGTATTTGACTGTGGCACTATCTTAGATGTTCCATTAGCGTTCGTTCGGAAATGCGTACTAAAAATAAATAATAAAAAAAAACAAATAAAACACATGGTAACTGTTTCCGAACGATTCGTTTTTTTATGTTAGAACTTTCACAATCCTTTTTTTTTGGTTCCGCTTGCTTCATTCTAGTTTTCACGCTTGGGTCATAGACGCTTGTGTCCCGTCACTTTTCATAGACAAATAACGGGGAGTGCGTTTTCAGTGCGAAATTATGGGCCACACATGATTTTTTTTTCATTTTTTATTAATTTTTTTTTATTAGCGCAGTCCTTGATATTTGTGACCTTTTTTTTACGTTTACATGGTGGTTTTCCAACTGGATATTGATAATAATAGTTTTTATAATTTTAAGTGTTTCTGAAACGTCAATATGTACGAAACATGTTATATTAATTACACTTAAAAGTTAATAATTAAAATTATTAATAAATATATATATATGTAATTGAAATTTATTAAAATTATTTTAATAGTATTTATCAATCTTCATTTTGTTAAAAATATTTGCATTGCGATATTTGATTGATTCATCTTTAAAAATTTTGAGAAGACATTACTTCAAATATTACGTTCCAATGAAAATTATTATCTAGTTGGAAATCTACAAATTCTCAAAATCCCCGGTTAGAAGTCATAAAACCAAGTCAAAATCTTTTTGTATGGGGATGACGATTTTGACATTTTGATTTTTTTTCAGTGAAGTACGTTTTCATAATAATTTGCTTCATTATTCATTACTGCGCTTTTTATTGACTTCAACCGGAAATGAATAAATAACTACGTAGATACGACACTATTATAGGCATAGATCAAAAATTGTAGGTTAAAAATAAAACTGTCAAACGTGATAAGTTTTATGACTTCTGATTGTGGTTCAATGTTTAGAATAAAATTAAGTATACAAAATTATTTGTTATTTATAAGAAACTACGTGTTTATTAAATTTTATATAGAAATGAAAGCAAATAATTTTGTTCCTATTGAAAAAATATTTAAGTAAAAATAAAATGATGTTAACTTTTGGGAAATATGAAAATAATCAAGTTGAATATCATTAGAAAAATAATAATATTACAAAAATAAATAAATTGGGCAACACAAAAAAACATAAGAAATGCTGACGCGTATATTGCGCGGCAGGCGGTGACAACATGTACACGCTGATGAAACCGGTGGGCGCTGGAGCCCTAGGGCCGGAGTACCCTCTCGCCGGAGAGCACGGGCCTTCGTCGCAGCACCTGCCGCAACCAGCCGCTGAAGGTGCTTATAGAAATAGGGCTACGCTAATGTACCCATTGAGTAACAGTGAAAATAGAGATAGGGCTTCGTTAATGACCCTATAGAATAAAGTCCCTATTAGTATCGTAGCTAGGGTTTTTTTTATAATTATGTGTTGTGACGTGAAAGGATATTGATTTACAGCATTAAGTCGTAAAATAATAGTATTATTATGCCAATTTTGATTTTTTTAAAATAAAATGTAATAATTTATAACTAGAAACGGAAAGTGTCTCTACGTAGTTATTTATTGCGAAAAATACGTATAGGTTATTTTGCATATCCACTAAAGCATGTATTAGTGATGCCATACATCATAACAAGTCAAATACCCGATGTATCAAAAATATAGATTAATAAGACCACGATGTGTTGAAAGAATGAAGCAAACTGAATATTTTAAAACAAATCCCAGTCAAACGAAAAAATTATACACGTACGTCGTTTTTAGTGGTGACGTTGAGTTTGTATGAAAATTGTAAATTTTTTTTTATAATATAACTTAAATTATATTTGTCAAGCAATTAATATTTGATGTTGAAAAGCAAATAATTAATGACCGATTTCACCAACGTCACCTAAGTTTAGGGGATCCCCTAAGCATGGTTAGGGGGCTGTTAGGGGACAGTTTCTGTTTCACCGACAGTAAGGGGTCACCTAAATATTAAAAGGCCCCCTAAATTTAGGTGCTCGAAATATGGGCTTAAAGACGATCTTAAAACGAAATGTAATTTAGGGGCTAGTTTAGGGGACTTTTAAGCTAGGGATTCCATACGTAGGTGGTATAGCTTATGGGTTGTTGGTGAAATCGGGCATAAGTGTTGTAACTCTGTTTAGTTATTTTTAGTTGGTTTGGTGTTTAAGTTGACTTTTTTTCTGATTTTAATATTAGTTTGGTTATAATATCAGGATTGGGAGGTGTGGATGGCATGAAATCATCACCAGGTGGCGTTGGAGGCGGAGGCCCCGGGACGCCCAGGGAAGACTCAGGCTCCGGTATGGGCGATTACAACTTAAGTGAGTATTACTGATAAATATTCTTGCGAAAAATGAAATAAATGAATGAAAAACACCGTATAATGAGTTTCGAAAAGTGATTGTGTTAAAAAAAACAATATTTTTTAATGTGATAGATTTTTTGAGTAATTGTTTTTTTAAGTATGAAATTATTATTATTTTTTCTCAATTTTTTTATATCAAGCTATTATATATATTCGATGTAAATAAGTTTTTAAATTAAAATTTGAAAGAAGTTGTAAATAAACAATACAAGTTACTTCTTTGTTTTACTATAAACTTTCCAAAAATACTGATTTCCCTAATATTTTGGAACATGTAACAAATTTTTAATACATATATAAAAAAAATCTAACAAGTATATTGAAAATGCACATAGAAAACACTAAATTAAAATTTTGCTTTTGTTTGGCAAAACTGAACCAATGTGTCATTTTTTTAATATACTTAGGCTTGCACTAAACCATATTGCCATATTGCCTAAAGATATATATATATAAAAAAAAATATAAGACATGCTCAGTCCGCTAACCCGCACTTGGCCAGTGCGGTGGACTATGGCCTGATCTCCCTCGTACTGAAGGGAGGCCCACCCCCAGCAGTGGGACGTTAAAAAGGACTGAATACAATTTTTTTTATAGTAAACTTAAACAAATTTAGAAAAAGATCTCATATAATTAAAAGAAATATATGAATCAATCATTTTGAAATTTTTACACGTTACTTTAAGTTACTCGATGTATCGAACACTTAGTTAACATATTCAATATTATATTCATATCATACAAATATTTATTATATTTTTTGTACAGAGTTTCCATGCGGTTTCTTATCGATGACCGCAAATATTTATTTATATTAAAAAAAACGAAAAATGATATTATTATCTGGATCTTTTCATTTTATCGAATAGCATTGGTTCAGGTTTGCATAAAACCTCGTTAAATATGGATTAGCACAGCGCCAATCGACCATAGAGCAAATAGGTAATGTGTACAAAAGTTTGATTTATCGCCCCAAGGTTTCGGAGGACCAGGCGGCGACCAAAACGATCAAACGGAATCGGCCGCCATTTTGAAAATAAAAGAGAGCATGCAGGAAGAGGCGAAACGATTCGAGAAAGATCCCGATCATCCGGACTATTTTATGCAGTGAATATACTAATTGTCGCCAATTTACCGGGAGTTTTTTCGATTTTTTTTACACAACCGTTCGGGATATATTTGAGGTTAAACTGTATCTGTCTGTTTTTCATAGTTTTCGCAGTTGCAAATGTATTTTTTTATTTTTTTTTGTATTACTATAGCAAAATGAAATGTTATGAACTATGCGTGAACTCCCAAAAGTAACTTCATATGTATATCAGAAATATAAACATTTAACTTTTTTTCACAATTCAATAATTAAATAACGGATGCTAATATATTAAAAAGAAAAAAGAGAAAGATATATAATTAGCGGAGAATCAAAAATACACGATTAACCAAAAACTATGAAGTTAAAAATAATCATGGAATATTTGAAATAAAAACCTAACTCAATGTTAGGCCAAATGGAAAATGGAAAAAAGTATATTTATTGCTATACTACATACATATGAGCTAAGATAATTTAAACAGACGTACAATTTAATTTATATATGTATGTTAGGCTCAAATAACGAAAACGCTCGTTGAGCGAAAAAATTGCTCACATTGTGAGCAAACGTCCTTATCGTGAAATTCGCATCATGGCACTTAGAAATGCCTCTATGACTCGTTATGGTAATTAAAAATTGAAAAAGCCATATAGCGAAATTTGCGTCGTGGCTTTTTATACATTTAAACTCAAAAATATCCGAACCACTCTTTATTTGTCTAGTTGATCTCTCCAGAGGTCGGTGAATTGGCGATGTGAACGATCTGAATGGGTTTGAGCCCTTCCTCTGCTTTCAACCAATTATTTATTACTTATTTATCGCACCGGTTTCCTTTGAACACGTCTTGTGGTCGTTTTCTAAAAAAAAATGTTTGTTTAAAAAAAATGTTGACAAAATTTCAATTTTTTTTTCAATAAAATATCTTGTTAGGAAATCAGTTTGTGATTAAATTGAAAAAATGTTTATTTTTGGCGATTATTAACTTTTTTTTAGAAAGTGACCATAAAAATGTGTCACGGCACTTAGCAATGAAATAAAAACGGATTTTTTATCAGTATGCCCATATATTCACGCATAGATTTCGAATAAATTATATTATGTATGTATTGGTACATAGCTGCGTTTTATGGATTTTATTATATTTTTTTTATTACTTTTTTTATTTTTAAATGTTTTAACTGTAATATTAAAAAAAAATAGATATTAATCTCTTTTATTTTTAACGATGTGAATTTTTTTACAACTATTTAATAAAAGTATTATGTAATTATATCAGGTTTTGATTTTTTTGCCTTAATTTACTTAATATTTTATATTTTAATTATTTATAAATTATTTATTTAATACAATATTGCAGTTAAAACATTAATTTGTTTTAAGACGACGCGCACCGAATTTTGTTGATGTTCGTGCGTTAAATATCCAATTAAACTATAATAGGCAAATTGACAGATAAAAAAATAAGAACCATAGATATAAAAAACACAGATGAAGTTTCTTTGTCTATTAAAGTTTATAGACGCATAATATGGAGTGTGTGATGTTTTTAAATACAAAAAAAATCTATAGCAATTTGACTTGAGATTTTTTTTCGTATATTTGATCAGTGCTTTTGAATAACGGTTGTTTTTTTATACCTTTAATCTATTTTTTCTTGTCATTCTTCTTCCTTTTTTGTATGTATACCAAAAGTTGTCAGATTTTTAACCTATTTTTTAATACATGTTTTTGAATTTCAAAAAGATCACACAGTCCGAGTTGTATGTATATGATATTTTAGCATTATTGTATTAAAACATCTTCCAAGTTCGTTTTAAATAAATTATTTAGCGTACATTTTTTATTTAAGCTCTTAATGTTCCTAGATTTGTATTCTTATTTTTTAAGTTCAAATTCGCAAGATTTCGGTGCGTCGAGTGTTGTACCGGTTTGTGTTAGATGTTTTTTTTTCTATAATATTGTACTATTTATTGCGACTTATCGTCGGTATAAAAGCAAAGTGGCATAAGTCAGTTATGACTATTTTTTTCTTTACTCAACTTTCCATTCTTTATCTGTAATATAAAAAAAATATACACATTTAGAAATGCTGATTTAACCCCTATTAATGCAACACGATTTGAATAGTTTGATTTATATTAATTTAAAAATTAATGTAGAATATGAACATAGTGACTTTTTCCGCTGTACCGGCGATATTTTTTGTATATTTTTTTTATAAATTCGAGGATAACACAACTCGGTACCACTCACGTTTCTAAGTTCGGATGGTGTGACAGAATTTATTTTATATTTTAAAACGAATTCCTCGTTCATCTGAATTCGCATTTATTCATGTTAATAAAGGATTTATAATATTTATCACGCGGAAAAAAAATCTTAGTCACATTAGTGTTGTGGCCGAAAATTATTAGGAAATTGTAATCGAGTCCGTATTTCCTACTAGTTTTGGGTTAATATTTTCTTGCAATATATAGCTGTGGTTTTGCAGATTTTTCAATTTGTCAGTGACATATAAATTTCCTTCATCTTATTGTTCTGTAGAGGTTTTATCATAAAATTCTTTATAAGTCATATTGAATGTCAAAATGACAGATTAAAGATTTGCAAAATGACAGCAAACGTCACAATTTTTGGCCACCACTAAATGACAGATTGGAAATTTTTTTATGAGAAGAAATTTTATACCATGAGATAGATGTAATAGATTTTTTTTCTCTGGTATCATTATAGCATAGGTTTTTTTTGGGGTGTATGGAAAATTGTATAAATTAGAATTATTTCTTAGCGAGATTCGGAGAGGTAGTTGTAAGGGGGCTTTGCCCTGTCCAACGCTCTGCGGACATTTGGATCTCTTTAGTTGCACATTTAAAAAAAAACACATTTTGTTGAATCTCGACTGAGTCTTTCGATGTTTATGTTTTCGTTCATTCAAATGTAAATAAAATTAAATTGGTATTTTTTTATGTTTTGTTCAGTAAAGTTTTTAAAATTAGCAAAATTTTTAACTAATTAGATCCAAAAATGTAAATTACGCAGAGTAAAAGATTAGTTATAAGAGATCTTAGTGTAAAACAAAAAAAAAATAGATTTCGACAATGCAAGTTGGAAATGAAAATTTTTTAAAGATAAAAAAAAATATTTTAATTGGTTTTTAATTTAAATAAATACGTGTAGTGTGAGGTTGTATGTTTTTAAGGTATATTATTGTTTCTTTAATTTTTGTGTTAGGTAAATGAATTATTTTTTTCATCAATGTAATGTTTATACACTTACTAAATAGTTATCATATATTAAATAAGTTGTTTTATTGAACCTCCTTAGCCAAAATTTTCCCTTTCAGGGACGAAAAGCTGACAGCTCTTCTGCACATAAAAAAGAGTTTAAAAAATTAAAAAAAATGTTGGGACATTAACACACAGCGCCATCTAGTTCCATGGTAAGCTACGAGGCTTGTGTTATGGATATGAGATAGTTGATACAATACACTTATATAACTTTTACATATTATTATAAATATAAAAACCAATGACTGGAGTACAGACATTCGTGCTTATCATACAAATGAATACCCCCAGCGGGACTCGAACCCGCGACCGCTGGCACAGCAAGTAACAAATAGAGCCAAACGTGTCGTGAACAGTTAATTTTAATTATTTTATTATATTTGACTTCTAAAAGGATTCTCAGTGATGTAAGTAAGATTCGAAGAAAGAAAAATTAAATATTTTTGAAAACATTTTAAAAGAAAAAAATCCGTCAAAATATAATCAAATAAAAATAAAAAAGTCTAGTTAAAATGGTTCTACAACGTATTCCTAGATGGCGCTGTTGACATTTTTAGAATTACTTATCTTACGTGGTCATCAACACTATTGGTATTACTTTTGCATTTTGCTGTATTCCATAGATAAATTAATTATTATAAATTAATTCCAGCATTTTTTGACCATACGCCATCTATCGTCTGTTTAGGTAAATTAAAGTAGCCTAAATTAGGATGCTAGAATATATTTGTATGGCATACAGCACATCTGTATTAGGGTAAAATTATGTTACCCACGGTATTCAATTCAATTCTCTTGGCTTTAGTTGCTAATTTTATATTAATAACTAGCAGCTAAGCCGCGGCTTCGCCCGCGTCCAAACTTCCGATCGCTAACAAAATTCACAGGATCTGGGCTAATCTGAATAATACCTGAAGATTTCATCAAAATCGCTCCGGCTGTTTTGGAGTCCATAGGAGACACATACACACATCGAATTTTATTAAATCAACAATTTAAAATTTTGGTGGTTGTTGAGTGTTGATAAATAAAAATAAGTCACCTACAAAACTTATTTATTGCTCGGAAAATGGAATCTTTTATGAAAATTTAGTGACACACCGACTGCAGCGCCACCTACCGGATCCATTTGTGAATACAAACCTTGCAGTGACCCACTCTAAAATACACAAAAAATATCATTAAAATCGTCCCTGCCAATTAGATGATCAGTGGCTCAACGACTGCAGCGTCACTACTGGGTCCATTTGTGCTTTCAAACCATCCAGGAGCCCATTGTAATATACACACAAAATTTCATCCAAATCGGTTCAGTCCTTTAGGAGGAGTAGGTTAATAAACACACGTAATTATAATAATGTTCTCCCGACCGATTCCGGCCACGGCGGCCAATCTCATTGAGACTAGCCAACTGCGCAGGAGATATTATAGTGCACAAGTGTACGCGCAGACACAACGTGCACTCTCTATTCCTGTCACTCTCATACTCCGTTGGGACGACGCGAGACACGACCAGTGAGAGTTAAGGCGCAGGACCGACGGCTTTACGAACTCCGGGCTGTTACTGAGTCTTACTTATACAGAAAGACTCAATAACTAAACTTGACCCGACCCGGGACTCGAACCCAGGACTCCGGGTGTGCAGCCGTACATGCTAGCCACTACACCACCGAGGCAGTTAAAAGCAGTTAATTATGTAGGTATATAAGATAATGATTACTAGAGGG